GGCATCCTACTTGTTTTCTTGATATAGCATCGCAGCTCTGTCGTGAATTAACTGAATGACATCCAGGAATGTCATATCTAAAAATGCCACCAGCAATGTTGCTCCATTGAACCTATGCTCAAGCACAAACTCTCCAAAATTATGACAGAGTTAAGGGCAAATACGTGACGGGAAGACACATGTCATGTTCATCGTGATTATTAATGGCCATCATGAGCCGCAAATTTATAAGACACATGTCATGTTCATCGTGATTATCAATGGTCATCATGAGCCGCAAATTTACAACTCTCCAACTGAACTTATTTTGAGATCGGCAGCTACAAACGACTGAAGGATAAATCGCGCGAGAGCTAGAATTCATCCCAGGTTCTCAAGTGGAACGCGCAGCAGCCGCTTCTCCTCGGCCAGCAGCGGGCGTGGCCGGCAATGCGACCGTTGACGAATAGCCATGAACACCACGGCCATGAGCGCGCTCATGCCAGTTATGTCACGTGATGAGGGACGGGATGGCCGCGATGCCAGGTATATAAGTGAGCTGGTTGGTTATAAGGGCACCCAGTGCTGATTTGCCGATCCTCATCCATCATGAAGGCCGTGAGTAGCAGCGGGTGATCGGACAGGGGAAGGTACACATAGAGTATTGAACTCCTTTTACTCAAGGGTTTGTTTGTCATGACGCCTTCCGCACCGAAGACGCTCAGCCACTAGGGAGCTTTGTTAGTTATACTCCCCATGGTGTCATTATCGCTAAACTGTTTCCTGTCAGGTTTTTCTATACGCGGATCATAGCATGTGTACCACCCGAATACTTGCTATGGTACCTCCACCCCGCAAAACCCAGCACAGCGCCAAGCGCCAAGTTTTGACAGTGCTGTGCTCCGGCAGGTCGCTGTTCTGCTGTTCGTCATGGTGGCCACCAGCCAGGCTGGTCTGACCTACCTGAGGTCGGTCCCTTACGCCCAGCTGGGCTACGCTGCCCCTGTGGCTCATGCTGCCCCTGTGGCCTACAGCGCGCCGGTCACCTACTCGGCCCCTAAGGTCCACAACGTCAAGATCGACACCCCCGTCATCACCAAGGCTAGCCTCACCGTGGTCACCGACGCCGACAAAATCTCCACCACCGAGGTCAGGACTCGCCTCTGTACCTCCTTACTCTGCCTAGTACCACCTGACACGTGATTCGTGATTGGACATATTTTGTAGGCATTGGACTCGGATAAAGCATGCATATCGAATGCGACGAGATTGTTTCGTAGAAGCCCCAGAGGGCGCCGAAGTAGCATGTCAAGGGCCTAGCTCAAATACAGTTAGATTGTGCGTCGATAGCATCACAAGAATTTACAGCACAGGGCTACGTAGAGCTCATCCCGATATTTCGGCTAGACAATGGGTAAGCGATACATAATCCTTTGGCGTCTAACCAGCATCGTTTTGTTTCAGATCAAGCCCGTGGCTGGCTACACCGTCGGAGCCCACCATTACTACTTCTAGACATTCTGCTCAGATAGGAATGTACTGTTGGCCTGCTCGATTTCGATATTTCTACCTCTCGTCTCACACGCCGCTCATGATACTTTGAAATACATCGTCACTATCATCACATTCGTGCTTGCATTCAAGTTCGCGTCAGCTGAAAAAGCAAGAACTGAAGGCTGAAACAACTACAGCCCTAACGTATTTTGTTAACACCGCACTACAGGTGTAACGGCGGTAGACTGCTGCGTAATATGAACTTCAGTGCGCCAGGAGCGTCAGTGCTTGCATCCTCAGGGGTGGTGGGCTCGTGAGTCCCGTTTTCAGGGGCTTCACGTACTGCGTCGCTTATCCGTCGAGGTCATCACAGTCACCATAAGCTGTGTGCTTAAGCGAGACTTTTCAAAGTGCCCAGTGATGATGCGGCCGAAAGCAGCGTGGAATGAAATGATCGTAGGACGGATATGCCTCAGTTGGGGTTCTCGTCGCAAAAATGGCCCTAGGTCTTGCACCCAGGGTAAAACGTGCTTTGCTTATGTGCCCAACCAAGAACGCATCGCGATTTTTGGAAGAAAAAGACTGACCAATCTTGATATAAGCAGGAATGTACTTGGGCTTCTATTTTTCGACATTATCGGGTTTTGTACCGAAAATATGCAGCCTGAACTATACTAGCGGTCCATTCCACGACACACTGAGACGTGGAATAGCCCAAGTAACACACTGCATCTCAGCTTGCGATGGAAGTGGGGGGCTGCTGAACACTTGGACCCAGTGATGTAGTATTTAAAGGATTGAAAGAGCGGTAAAACAGTGTATTACCAAGGAACCATTTTTAGAGGCAATTTAAGAAAGGCGCCTTTGGATGATTCCAATGTTAAGAAAATTAATCCAAATTTGTGCAAACAATATGTTGAAGAATTTAGCTAAGAACATACCAGGATGCAGCATGTATTTTAGATGCATCAGTACTTAAGTTTTTGGCGCCGTGACCTTAAGTTCACGTAACCTTTTTGTGTGGGGTGCACTGAAAATACTACTTTTAAAACGCGGAATTTTGTACTGCCTTGTGCTTTCCCCATCACAGTTCAAAAGTTATCATTTTTACCATGCAATCTAATGTAGGTGTTCCAATCATGACTGTGGGGCTGTTTTTGCGCCAAGTTAACATGGAAGCTCTCATGTGCGTCTAAAACGTATGTGTTGGTGAAAAACAAACGTCCCGGGATAATTTGTTTCTGTAAGTAACGGGTAACAACATCAGAAGATGTGTCATCTGGTCATGAGTTTGTGGCCCTGTATGGATGAAACAGGTGTATTGAAGAAATGGAAAGAAACTGAAAAAGTTCGCAATGCTGTCGGAGGTCAATTGTGCGTCATGGCTTATAATGCAACAGACAGCAAGGCTTTAATAGTACCATTTAATGGGAGCCACACGGTGGCAATTTGAAAGCAACCGCCTGAACCAGGTACGGCGTCGCGAAATATAGAGTTGTGCGTACGTGCCGGGCTGCAATGATTGGTGGTTTACTTCTCGCCGACTGCCAGGGCCATTTCCAGATTAGCTATGCTATGTAGGATGCGGTGGTGGCGTGGCTGAGGCCCACACCCAGACCTACAGATCCGGACTCGAGCGGCCTAACCTTAACACTGCCACAGCCACGATGTGACGGATTCTCAGAGACGACACGAACAAGTGGCGGAGTGTAGTAGTGGTGACAAGCGTTACGCCCCGACACATATTAGAACGGACCATGTTAACTTGGCGCAAAAAACGGGCCGGAGAGCATAATTTAAACATAATTTGAACAACCACGCTCAATTGCAGAATAGTAATACATATATAGTTAGTTAACTGGTCGAAAGAAAAGCACTCAGCTTGATTTCCGCACGTTAAGAAGCATCATTCCCGGTGCGCACCCCCTCCCCCGCCACATACACACACACACACACACACACACACACACACACACACACACACACACACACACACACACACACACACACACACACACACACACACACACACACACACACACACACACACACACACACACACACACACACACACACACACACACACACACACACACACACACACACACACACACACACACATACACACACACACATATACACACACACACACACACACACACACACACGCACACACACACACACATGCACCCACACGCACGTACGTGTACGCACGCACACACAGCTGGCTACGTGAGCTACAGCCCACGATGACGCAAACTGTAAACAAGACTAAAAACAAAAATACGGATTTAACTAAAAAGTACGTAGCATCCTACTCATTTTTTATATAAACTGTCTGCTAGAATTACGGTTAAGGTTCTTTTCATTGGAGGTTTCCACAATCATCCTTCTGAAAATTTAGCTCTCAGAAACACCGAGGTAATAACTTTTTCACCGCTGTTGTAATCCTTTCAAAGACTGCACCATAAGATATAGGCCATTAATAACTCCTTCCTTTCATCACAACCACAGATGCAGGGTGTTATTTGGGACATAGCACGCCAGGGGTGTCATTCAACATACTTTCGGGTGGCCTGGCCCCCTCCAATGCTATCCTCCCCCCATACTCCTCTTAACGCCCTCGATGCGGATGAATACTGGGCCATTGAATGCTGGGCCAAAGAAGTGCTGGAAAAGTATCTCAACAACAAGCACACTAATAGGTAGGTACAACTTCATCAATATCAAGCTTTCCTTGCGCCGAATAGTATTCTGTAGCTTTCTAATGTCTTTGTCATGCTAACTCCTTAACCTGTAGGCCAGTGTGCAAGTGTTTCACACGTTTTACAGATGTGATGCGCCCCACTCCGGGGAGAAATCCAGTTCTGAAGAAGACTAAATCCACCTCATCGGCTTAGTTCGCTGCTTTCGACCGATTTTAAAACGTGATACCTGATTTCACACTCATTTTGTCGTGGAATGAGCCTTCTACTCCTGCTATAGCTCGGGTTGCATATTTGCGGCATAAGACCTGACAATGTCTAAAAACTGGGAGCTCAAGGACTCTGTTGCTTGTATCAAGATCGGTAGTTCTACCTTCGAAATTAAGCCACGGTGCATTCATGGCTGGACTCGGAGGCAAAACCTGTTTTGGTTTGACTGCAAGAACAAAGGTCACTTTCGCTGTGAAAATCCCAAATGATGCATATCAACTCAGCGATCATTTAATTTGCATGCACTTTTTCGGTCGTAGCATCCTTGTGCGCCCGGTGTGGCCTCGCGTAAATACACAGCTTGTGGTGATGGTGATCATCGCGAGAGAGGAGAAAGGCGTAGCGGCGTTTAGCGGCGCTTGAAGAACTCAGACGCACCGACACTGCGGCCTCGAGGGCTCACAGTCCGAGCATTCTGACGTTCTTGCCGCAACGTTCATCGTCGTTATACCTATAGTGCAATGTTTATGACGAGTGTCGTAGATATAGTTGTTTTCAACGCTCAGTCTTCGCCCCATCGCAGGAAAAAAAATTGAATAGAAACACAGATGCGACGATAGTGATGATGTATTTCAAAACTTTATGGGTGGGATGTCGGCAGAGAGATAGCAAATGTGAAAATCAAATAGCCCAACAGCACATTCCTACAAGAGCAGAATGTCTAGAAGTAGTAGGGGGCAAAGCCAGCCACGGGCTTGATCTGAAACAAAACGATGCTGGTCAGAAACCAAAGGATGAAACATTGTTCATCCATTCTCTAGCTGAAACATCGGAATAACCTTTACGTGACCTTGTGTTGTGAATACCTATGCTGCTATCGACATACAACCTGACGGTATTTCACGCTGGGCCTATGGCTTGGTATTGCAGTACCCTTTGCGAATTCTACAAAACAATCGCGTCGCCTTCGAAATAACGAATAATTTGGCTGGGATCCTTTTGCACCGGGCAACTTGAGCTCTAAACAACAAGTGTAAAGTGCCAACAAGCAGAGTCGCTGGGTACGGTAACTCGCCCTGACCTCGGTGGTGGAGATTTTGTCGGCGTCAGTGACCACGCTGAGGCTAGCCTTGGTGATGACGGGGGTGTCGATCTTGACGTTGTGGACCTTAGGGGCCGAGTAGACGACCGGCGCGCTGTAGGCCACAGGGGCAGCGTAGGCCACAGGGGCGGCGTAGCCCAGATGGGTGTAAGGGGCCGACCTCAGGTAGGTCAGACCAGCCTGGCTGGTGGCCACCATGGCAAACAGCAGAACAGCGACCTGCCGGAGCAAAGTGGTCAAAACATGAGCCTCGGCGCTGTGCCGGGTTCGAGAGGAAGGCGCGACAGTAAGTAAGTCTGGTGGTACACCTGCTATGATCTGCTTATAGAAAAACTTGAAGGAAACAATGCAGTAACGATGACGCCATGGGAAGCTCAAATAACAAGGCTCCCTAGTGGCTGAGCGTTTTCAGCGAATAAGGCGTTATGACAAACAAACGCTTGCGTAAAGAGAATTAGATCACCTGAGCTACGCGTGACTCGCCCCGCCCGATTTCCCAGCGGTACTCACGGCCTTCATGGTCGATGATGATCAGCGAGTGAGCACTGGGTACCGTTCGAACCAGCCAGCTCACTTATATACCCGGCATCGCGGCAAGCCCCTCCCGCATCACGTGGTATGAATGTCCTCAGAGCGTTCATGGTCACGTGGTGTGCCGGCGGCGGTCGCATCGTCTCGGCCAGCGACGCCCGTCTCTGCTCGCGCAGCAGGACTGGTGTGTGCGCGGAGAAATGCATTAGTTTGGCAGAGTGACAGAACATCGGTATGGATCGCTTGGTACGATGAACGGAGGCCATCAGCTCTAGAATTTGTCGACGTTGTGACTAGTAGATACTTTTGAACATACGACGCATATCTATGCATGATATTGTTGGCTTAAAAAGATAAATGTGACGCGCAGAGCACTTCCGCCAAACAGCGCCAACAGCGTATGAAAAAGCCTGTGATTATATGACAAGTGTTCTGAGATTCTCCGAATGCATAACAGCTTGATTGCTCGTGGCATTGCGCCTTGGTCGCTGTTGTTGTCCCCAAATACAGCCGCTGGCTGCGCGAAATGTATCTCTGATCCCGCACTGCATCAGTTGTTGATATGGCTGCAAATGCGCGTCGATGGATTTGGTCATTTTGCCACTATATCACTTATACCTAATGCTTCTCTAACCAATCTTGTTTTTATATCTCTTTTGAAGCAGCCAATTCATTAATAAATGCTTATCTTACATTAAGATTCCCGCTCTGTTGTTAGAAACTACCACTGTGATGTACACGCTGAAGTGTCATGGTATTGCATGGCACCATACAAATCCTTCGGAACTCTTTTGTAAAATGGCAGAAACACGTTCGCTCAATCCAAGGCGATGCTGAATCTGTCCAAAGCAAGGTCAAGCTACTGGATCCGGGTGCATACTAGCACAGCATCTTTGCCAAACCACCTTCGGAGTAAAGCAAGATCGGGCAGAGGCAAGAAATGACCGTGGAAAAGAAATTGGTCCAGTGGGGTGGTGCAATAACGGTTCGGACAATCGCATTCGTCTGTTGTGTTTGTATCTGCACAATGTTTCGGCCAGTTAACTCTCCAACCGTCTCCAGGTGTTAATCATAACGCAATTATAAATCATAACCATGTTAGCAAAATCATAATTCAACCCGGGGAAGGACTGTATCATGTTTGGCTTTCAGCTATTTACGCGCGGCAACCCGAACTATCTGTTCGGAGTTGCTCGGATTTGAGTCAGGGTCTTCTGCTTGCGAGCCCGGTGCGCTTCCCACTGCCCCTCCCCGACGGCTCAGTCGATAGAGTAGCCCACTTGCAAGCAGAAGAGCCTGGCTCGAATCCCAGCTATTCCGCGTCGCCAATCGTGCCACGGTCAGGAGCGACTCATGCGTCCCACCGACAAGTACATACTGACGGCTTAAGACATGCCTGAGTATTTCCCGAATAAGCACGGCAGCCGCACCAGGTTCATGTTCGTATTCATGTATGTAATGATAACCGTCACGATCCTGTTATCCTCATCTAACCGGACCAGAGGTACCATTTTCTGGAATTTATCGCCCAAAGTCCAATCCATAGCCAAGGGTGGACCGACTGTACGTCCGAAAAGTGTAAAAAAATCAGGTTGTCCAATTTTGTATTTCAACTAGCTACTACCTACAACCAATAACCACAGTAAGTACTCTCGTCGCTACATTTCCGTACTCGAATAGAATGAAGAGAATGTAACTGATCGTGGATAAGTAAGGTGTATCTGCATTAAATAAGTTCAGATGCATGCTAATTTCCAATACAACAGAATGATGTCGGTTGTTCAAAAACAAACCCAATGATTCCTCCCTTGTTCGTTCATTCCAAATTGAGCTTTGAAAAATTTTGGAACTCCAAAAATTTGGAATCCAACCGGCACCTCTACACCGGACGCTTTCATCGCCGTGAGGGAAACGTACGGGCACGGATTCTCACATCCGGCCCTCAAAACTGTGATGATTCATGGGTTGTCCGCGGGCGCGGAACTGTTCCTGGTGGATGTAGCCCTGTGGCATGAGACATGACAGTGTGTGAGGGGGGGGGGGGGCAGCACTGACGCACACCACGCTTTCATTGTAACCTGACAAAAATATCCGGGCCATAACTTTTTGGCTGTTTCTCTAATACTTTGCAAGACTGCACCATTCGATCAACGCCATCGGACGACCCTATTAACGTACTTTCATCGAAATTCGAAATGTCGGGTGTTATCTTTGCCATGCCACGTCTCGATTTGTCGTGGAGCGGGCCTTCTGGTATAGTCTATCGTGAAGCGAGCCTCCTGGTGTAGTCTGTCGTGGAGCGAGTCTCCTGGTATAGTCTGTCGTGGAGCGAGCCTCCTGGTATAGTCTGTCGTGGAGCGAGCCTCCTGGTATAGTCTGTCGTGGAATGGGCCTACTGGTATAGTCTGTCGTGGAGCGGGCCTTCTGGTATAGTCTGTCGTGGAGCGAGCCTCCTGGTATAGCCTGTCGTGGAGCGAGCCTCCTGGAATAGTCTGTCGTGGAGCGGGCCTTCTGGTATAGTTTATCGTGAAGCGAGCCTCCTGGTATAGTCTGTCGTGGAGCGAGCCTCCTGGTATAGTCTGTCGTGGAGCGAGCCTCCTGGTATAGTCTGTCGTGGAGCGAGCCTCCTGGTATAGTATGTCGTGAAGCGAGCCTCCTGGTATAGTCAATCGTGAAGCGAGCCTCCTGATAAAGTCTGTCGTGGAGCGAGCCTCCTGGCATAGTCTGTCGTGAAGCGAGCCTCCTGGTATAGTCTGTCGTGGAGCGGGCCTCCTGGTATAGTCTGTCGTGGAATGGGTCGCCCAGTTTAGTTTGCTGTGGAATGGGTCTCCTGGTATAGTTTGTCGTGTAATGGGTCGTCTGTTGTAGTTTGTCGTGGAATGGGCCTCCCGGTATAGTTTGGGTCGCTTATTTTCAGCAATGATTTGATATCGCCGAAAAACCAAGAGCTCAAGGGCTCTCTTGCTGGTATCAATATTGATCCTTCGTTTTCTGAAATATAATCACAGCAAGTTCTTGGTTGGGCGCGGAATCAACAAATGTTTTAACCTGGATGCGTGACCTGAGGTCGCTTTTGCAATGAAGGCAAAACATAATGCAGATCAAGTCAGCGATCACTCCACTTTTAGATCCACTTTTCATTCTTGGTTTTGAATTTTCAATGCTGTCACCGTAAAGGAGCAAGGTTTGAAATGTGTCTGTAAATTGTCACAACGGCAACTTGAGGGCCTTTGCGCAACACTTATTTCATCCTTAACGTGGTCGGATGTCAGTTAGTCAGAATTATAATCCTCAACTCACAATGTCTGAATGATTTTGCTGGACACATGCCTGTTAAATAATTATAACTCCAAACGAGAATCGGGTGCAAATAACATGGTTCTTGCACACCGCAACTCAGGTTTACCTCGGTGTTGGATATTTTGTCAATGTCGGGGACCACGCAGAGGCTAGCCTTGGTGATGACGGGGTTGTTCATCTCGACACTGTGGACCTTAGGTGCTGAGTAGACCACCGGCGCGCTGTATGCCACAGGGGCAGCATAAGCCACAGGGGCAGCGCAGCCCAGATGGGTGTAAGGGGCCGACCTCAGGTGGGTCAGACCAGCCTGGCTGGTAGCAATCATGGCGAACAGCAGAACAGCGACCTGCCGGAGCAGAGCACAGTCAAAACACGAGGCTTGGCGCTGTGCTGGGATCCAGAGGGAAGGTGATGCATGTCAATTGAAGCAAATGAAGTAGTAAATGAGGTAGAAGCGTGATACATCTGCTATGGTCTGCGTATGGGCAGCCTTGATACAAAAAACTAGTAATGACAACACCATGGTGAATAAAAAGAATTTAATCACGGTATTTATCTGCGACTTCCCCCACTCGAATACCCGTTAGTTGTCATAGTCTTCGTGGCAGATCATCAGCAAATCACCGCTAAGTACCGCTCGAAGCAACCAACTCACCTATGTACGCTGCACAGCGGCCCGCCCCTCCCTCAACAAGTGATGTTGCTATCCTGAACGGTGGTCATGGTCACGTGGTTTGTCTACGTAGATGCGCCATCAGCCTGCCTGCTGTCGCCCTTCCCTGCGCGCACAGCGAGACGGTCGCGAGGCGCAGAAACACATCGGTTTGGCAGAGCGACAGGGGCTCGGTCTGAATCGCTTGATACGATTGGAGCTCATCCAAGGTTTTTGTCGGTATTGGGATCGAAAGATGCGTACCAACATGCGGTACGTATATACCAATTCTAATTTTGTCTTGCAATGACAAGGATAGTTAAAACAAATCGTTCACTTCCAGTCATGCGCGTGGGCGGAGACAACCTTCAACGTAGAACGTTGGGCATTTATTTACAAGAAGTGATATGATGCTGTTCTGATACAGCGCACCAGAACTGATGGCGACAATCTGCGTCGCAACATGCCTTACCCAATGCTTTCTTCTTCAAGAGACTGGCATTGGCTACCCGAAGACTCCACCCAAGATGTCATAGCGTTCCAAAGGAAGAAATCTTGAGATTTGTCTGGACGGATAAAGCTGGCTTGTCCCCGGATATACAAATATGCCGGGCTTCCTACGGATAAATCAGGTTCACTCGCAGAGATTGGTATGTGCCACCGCTCTTAAAGACATCACGCTATTCTAAGCATTTCATCAATCTATTTCGACAAGCTGCATGTGTTTGGTGGCGTGGGTTTACCGAAGATGTTTTCTTTTGTATCAAGGCACGTCTTGCCTATATTTGTATAGTGAGAAAATCCTAGCCGGCGAATATCTGTCACGGTCACAGTTGGAGCTGAATTTTATGTTATCTTTTTTTGACCACGTCTGAAATCAGATACTCAACTAGATATAATTAATTCCATTAACTCTCGCCCCACGGCGGTTTTTCCACCTTCAGACTACGAGTTGGCCTCAGAGCTTCCGCCCCCTGAGATTCCAAAAAATAAGGAAGTCAAAGGACAAAAAAAAATGGCGGCCTGTAGTCAAACTGCATCAGACAGGAGTGCCTAAAAATTGGGA